AAGGTTGTCAGGGAGTCACCCATCCCTGCCTTGCTCTTTAAAACACTTTTTTTTTATTTGAAATGTGTCATCACAGGTTAAACGCAGGGCTGTATGTACCACAAGGCAAACAAGGCACTTGCCTAGGGCGGCATTTTTCAGGGGGCAGCACCTTCCCCCAGAACAGTGTTTCTCAACTCCAGTCCTCATGGACCCCCAACAGGTCATGTTTTCAGGATTTCCCTCAGATGAAACAGCTGTGGTAATTACTAAGGCAGTGAAACTGATCAAATCACCTGTGCAAAATAATGGAAATCCTGAAAACATGACCTGTTGGGGGTCCATGAGGACTGGAATTGAGAAACACTGCCCCAGAAGAAGAGATAAAAGAAGGGACACATGTGCCATGGGAACCAGGTGGGATTCAAGAGAGGCTGTGGGCTGCTTGATGGTGTATGTAGAGCCTGACTCTTGTTCCCAGGGATGTCTGAAGCTGTGAAAATGAGTGGGAGTGGGGGGGGGTAGTCAAAGGCTCTCCCGGGTGGGTGCAATGGTGTTGATTGTCAATATCAGGCTCTGTCCGCTGGAGGGGGTGGTGTTGGTTGGTGTCCTTGGGGGCAGACAAATTTTGTGCTGTCTAGGGCAGCACAAAGCCTAAATAAATCACTACTTAAACGTCACTTCTCTGTGTTTCATAGCTTTAATAATGTATATAAAAAGATAATATACATAAATATCTATATACATACTTCAATACTGGGCACTTTGACCCCAATCCTGCCCAGGGCAATTTTCAACTTTCAGCACTGTCGCACTTTGAAAGACAATTGTGCGGTCATGCAACATTGTACCTATATGATATTTTTTTTGGTGGTATTTAACCACCACTGGGTTTTTTTATTTTTGTTAAACAAATGAAGAAAGACCAAACATTCCGAAATAAAAGATTTTTTTTAGTTTTTGTTATAAAATTTTGCAAATAAGTATTTTTTTCTTCGCAACTGATGTGCCCTGATGAGGCTGCACTAATAAGGTGGCACTGATGGGCACTGATAGGCTGCACTGATGGGCACTAATCGCTGCACTGGTGGTCACTGATTGGCACTGATGGGGCTGCACTGATAATCAGGGCTCCTGACCACGTCTCCTGTCTAGCTCTGCCTGCTGTGTTCTGATGTGATTCACCTGCACATTCCAGTGTGCCACCCTGGATCAGTTGCCTGCAATACCTGGCTCTCATCTAAAGAGGCTTCTCCACTGCAGATGCATTTGGGCTGACAACTCATGGGGCCCCCGGGCAATAGAGCATCATGGGGCCCCTGTGTCCTTGCCCAAACTCAAAAAAGCCTATGAAAAAGGTACCAGGGGCATCTCATGGGGCCCCCTACTGACCCCGGGCCCTTGGGCATTGCCTGAGTTTCCAAATGGTCAGTCCACCCCTGATTTGGCCACAGTATAGCTGCTAACCCGTGCTTCTTTGGGCTCAGCATTCCCTGTCATCATCCTCAGGGGTGTCGTGCACTCAGCCAAAAGGGGAGCCATCTCATCACCTCGGTCTCAAGACCCGGTTCATGACAAGCAGTGGCTTGGATCCTGAAACACATTTGTCTACTGTGTATTGGATTAAAACCTTTTGACTCTAAAGGGTTGATTTACTAAAGACAAAAAGGCCATTCACTTTACAAGGGAATTTTCACTTTCCAAAAGGAGTGTTCCCATAGCGAGCTAAGTGAATGAGGAGAAGCACTGCTGGCTTCCATCATCTAATCACATGCAAGCAAAACTACTCTTTTTTATTTTCCTTGCATGTGACAGGGTACCCTAATGCAAAGTGAATTTTCACCGCTTTCACTGAAATGCTAAGGAAACAATAGAGTACTGACGTGATAACTTTTTTTATTTGCACTGACATACAATTTTGAGAACAAGCTTTCAGTGTATGTCCCCTTCTTCAAGGTCCAAGCAGAACTGCTTGGACTTGAAGAAGGAGACATACCCTGAAAGCTTGTCCTCAAAATTGTATGTTAGTGCAAATAAAAAAAGTTTCACGTCAGTACTCAATTGTTTCTGTCGCAAATGCACTAATACGGCTACAACCACCTCAAACTGAGCTAAGGAAAAATGTCCTTTGCAAAATGAAAATTCCCTTGAAATGTGAACAGGCTATTTGCCTTTAGGAAACCTTTATATCTTATGGTGGGGTTCTATTTTAACCCTGGACTCTTGGATTTCTTTAGAGACATATTAGAAGGCTGTGTTGAGTCTAAAGCTGAACAGTTGGAATAACTGTATTCCTCAAATTGGAGGCTTCACCCATGATCTCTTATATATGAGCAATTCTAGATTCAGTGCTTCTCATCAAAGCTTTATCCCTAGTCTGGTCAGAATGGTCATTGTGATCATGCAGTTCCAATTTAGTTGTTCCATCTATTCTCAATATGCATGGCCTCACCTGTTCTAAAACTAACTAAGCTGGGCTCTCACATTCCACCCCATTACAATGAATACGTGTCTTGAAAAAAAGCCTACATGTCTTTTGAAAAAAAAAAAAAGAAAAAAAAAACCATCTATTTGTGGAAATCTTTTAGTCCTTTTGTAGTGTAGGTATTCACTAAGAAAATGGTAACAAAACCCCCTTATAAGCTGCCTTTGTTCTTCTAAAAATGTTCATGTTCAAATAAATGGCAAACATGTCTAAATCAATACACACTTCCACATTTTTTTGCTTGACAAACTGTTTGCTTTTAGTTGTCATTTGCTGCCCCACAGTAGTATACGAAAACAACAAATACAGCAGTAATAGAAACGTTTTATCATTTAGACGTATTCCTACATGCCTAAACTAAGTAAAGTCAAATTTCTTTATTACGGCATACAATTTTTTTTTTCTGCAGTCAAACACAAACCAATGTCACCAACGTCATTATTACAGATCTTAACGTCGGGAGCAAGTCATTTTCAAGAAATCATTTCCTTGTGCAATTATGCTCTGTGTTCAGTATTGCAGTTTTATTAACAGGGATAAAAAGAAAAATTATCACCCTGGAAAAGTAATGTTAGCCAAAGTGCTAATATAAACAACATGCTTTATGCCGTAAATAACATGTTTTTGCCCTCTGGTCTACATCTGTGATAAACTAACCTATAGTATGCTATACAATTAGAGGGACATTTCTTGTTCTTTCTCTAAACATAATAGCAATGCAATTGTTTGTTCTCAGATGTGTTTCCATAGCTTAGCAAAAGATTGACCTTGCTCATTATCAGAATCAGACTATGTTGCCAGACCCAGTGTCATGGGATGTGATGATGACCAATGTCATGGGATGTGATGACAAGCTGTGTCGAGGACAACAGCCAACTTGCAGACAAAATAAAACACAACATGGAATCATCACACAGGAACGTGGTCAGACAAGATGTTGGGGCAGATGTCAGACAAATGTTCTTTGGCTTACTACTGATAACTGATAAGCAAAACAAAAAAAAACAAAGACAAAAACAATCACAAAAGGGCTCCGGGGCAACCGCAACAGAATCGATCCTCATATCGATAGAAGGGACCGGTCAAATCTCGAAGGTTGGGCTGTATCCAGCCAGGGACGCCATATCTGCAGGAATTTTGTATGGGTATCCAACAGTATAGCCGTCAGTTTTTCATTAACCATTATGAAGTTCATCCGGTTTTTGACAGCCTAGAAGCTGAGGAGAGGCGTCTTCCAAGCCCTAGCGATTGTCAATTTTGTAGCCATAAATTAATGTGATGCCAGCTGCTATTCAGAGCGGAGAAGGCCCTCCAGTGGTTTAAATAGGAGCGCTTCGTAAGGGTTATGCTTAATGTCTGCTAGACTGATCATTTCTTTGTGAGTGGGCAAACATTCAAAATCAGCAGGGGATCAAATACTTATTTCCTTCACTGTATGTGTTGGCTGTTTGCACCAATCCCTGATGTCCCTCCCCCTTGTCGGAAACTGATGTATACTGTCTGTCTCCTGGTCTCAGGTGATTTCTCGTATGGAATCCATCAAGATTATGGAGAAAATCCATCACACTATCTATGACACTATGGGGTTTGTTTGCAAAAGCTTGAGAGTGCAAAATCAGGCTCACTTCTGCATAGAAACCAATCAGCTTCTAACCTCAGCTTGTTCAATTAAGGTTTGGCAATTCAACCTGGAAGCTGATTGGTTTCTATGCAGAAGTGAACCTGATTTTGCACTTTCAAGCTTTAATAAATAAACCCCTATGTGAGTATTTGAGAAGAAGTGGTATCACTGGTCCATAGGAGTTATCCATGAAGCATATTGTCCCAGGGTGGTAGTTCTTTATATAGGCTTTCCAATAGGAATCCTTATTGTTAAATGGAGTGGTCCCAAGATTTTCTGTGATGTTTTCACCCTTTTCTAAGGTCAAGCTTTGACTTCAAAGAACAATTTTTTTTATGTTATAAAATTTCTTTACAAATAAGTCAATGTGTGGCATCTGTGTATTTTAAAACTGTTTTTACTATATGTGATAACATGCTTTTCACAACATAGATGTCAGTTGATCTGGTTATATAGCAATCTGTATATCGATTCCTTATAGTCTGTACTGTTTGTATATGGAGTTCAAACTTAACTTCTAATCGCCAACTAGGAAGCAAGTTACTAGCTTTGCATATTTTATTCCAGCAAAGTGCCGTGTGCCAACATATTCACAATACTCTGTGCCCAGACAAATCTCTATAAAGTGTCCAGCTTCTTAGACTGATTTATATGTTGCAGTTCTAAACTTCCTTCCAAGGTTCTATGGGATGTGAGCCACCATTGGACCCCACTAATTAAACCCAGGGGTGGGTAGTATATCTCTGTCATCCTCCGTCCAGCTGCAATTGTTCTTTCCATGGAATCTGAATAAACTCTGCTATCATTATCCAATGTAAAACAATTGGAACAGGGATTATATTTCTCATTCATTTATTTTTTAGTTTATCATTTATTTAATATTTAGTTAATACTTTCCTACTAAGTTAACTGTTTACATGATATCTTCTTCTCTCCCGTATGATGTGCTTATTATGTCACTGTATATTGTTAAAGTGGCAACAAACTCTTTATTTTAACTTTTACCTACAGGTAAGCTTACAATTATTATTATTATACAGTCAGGGGCGGATTGACAACTCATGGGGCCCCCGGGCAATAGGGAATCATGTGGCCCCTGTGTCCTTGCCCAAACTCAAAAAAGCCTATGAAAAAGGTACCGGGGGAATCTCATGGGGCCCCCCTACTGACCCCGGGCCCCCGGGCAGTGCCCGAGTTTCCAAATGGTCAGTCCGCCTCTGTATACAGTATTTATATAGCGCCAAAGGGTTTGCTCAGCACTGTACAATAGCAAGGGGGACAGAACATGAGACAAGACCGAAACAATACAATACACGAGGGGTTCAAGGGCCCTGCTCTACAATAAATCTTGCCTGTAGGTAAAATGAATATCTCCTAACCGTGCACCGTTTAGGAGATATTTGCTCTTCTTGAGAGCCGGCGCATGTGCTCTGAAGGTATGGCATACCCGTGCTGTAGTCCGGGACTCCTGCACACATGCACAGGAGTGACGTCATAGGGGATCGACCAGTCAGATGGCCAGAGCTCACGAACCCGGAAGGAAGACCGGGTGAAGATGTGCTAGTATGCAGTATGACATTACCTTGCAGGGGATTTTTATTTATTTATTTTTTACATGTGGTTGCTGTTTTAGAAGACATTTGCTCTTTTTGAGAGCCGGCGCATGAGATCTGAAGGTACGGCATACCCGTGCCTTTCCTTCAGAGTACTGTGCTGTAGTCCGGGACTCCTGCACGCATGCATGGGAGTGACATCATCACATCTCGGCCAGTCAGATGGCCGGAGCTCACAATCCCAGAAGAAAGACCGGGTGAATATGTGTTAGTATGCAGTATGACATTACCTTGCAGGGGATTTTTAATTTTTTTTTTTTTACATGTGGTTGCCATTTTAGGAAATATTTGCTCTTTTTTGAGAGCTGGCGCATGAGCTCTGAAGGTACAGTATACCCATGCCTTTCCTTCAGAGTACTGTGCTGTAGTCCGGGACTCCTGCACGCATGCATGGGAGTGACATCATCGCATCTCGGCCAGTCAGACGGCTGGAGCTCACAAACCCAGAAGGAAGACCGGGTGAATATGTGTTAGTATGCAGTATGACATTACCTTGCAGGGGATTATTAATTTTTTTTTTTTTTTTACATGTGGTTGCCATTTTAGGAGATATTTGATCTTTTTTGAGAGCCGCGCATGAGCTCTGAAGGTACGGCATACCCGTGCCTTTCCTTCAGAGTACTGTGCTGTAGTCCGGGACTCTTGCACGCATGCATGGGAGTGACATCATCGCATCTCGGCCAGTCAGATGGCTGGAGCTCACAATCCCAGAAGAAAGACCGGGTGAATATGTGCTAGTATGCAGTATGACATTACCTTGCAGGGGATTTTTTATTTATTTATTTTTTTACATGTGGTTGCGATTTTAGGAAATATTTGCTCTTTTTTGAGAGCCGGCGCATGAGCTCTGAAGGTACGGCATATCCATGCCTTTCCTTCAGAGTACTGTGCTGTAGTCCGGGACTCTTGCACGCATGCATGGGAGTGACATCATCGCGTATGGCCAGTCAGACGGCCGGAGCTCACGAACCCAGAAGATAGACCAGGTGATGATGGAAGCCTCTGCAGTGGTGACAGTGTGCCGCTGGAGGGCTTCATTTAAGGTAAGTCCTCCATAATCTGCTAGTATGCATTATGACATTACCTTGCAGTGTATTTTAAAAAAAAAATTCTCATGTGGTTACTGCCGCTTTAAACACACTTTCTAATGAAGCAATTCTCAATGCTAAAATAATTAACATTTGGATTGTCTTTATTACTTGTGTATTAATTATAGCTAATCCTCTTAAACTACTCCCTGCTCATTAATGTATCATGAAAAAGCAAAACTCATTCTTATCATAAAATCTCAGGGGACCTGTAATATTTCTACATGAGATCTACCTGGCCGTATATTGTAACACAATGTTGTCTATTGGCAACATGCTGAGGCATTGGAACACACTCGAATCCTGCGAAATTTAACATTTCTTTCACTCAGATGTTTTTTTCTGTATATAAGAGATTATCTCATTTGAATTGTTGATCAATCTGAAGTGCTTCTGTGCTAATTTCTTTAGACTAAAAATTATCTGTAATACATTCTGTAAGTGCCATATGTTCAAATGATGCAGTCAGTGAACAACACATCCCTTACGAAGGTACCAAAGTGTTTTTTTTTTCTCTTGATTATATACACAATAGCTCTGGCACACAGAATTTACCATGTGGCTCATTGATTGTGTACATATGTTTAGGTGTCAGCATAGCTGATATTGATTTCTTAATATTACTGTAGTGTTTCCTTCTTCCTTGGCAATCTTAAAGTGGAACTACACTGCATCTGAGCACCACAAATCAAAAAAGCTATTTAATTCATTTTTAATATTCAGAGCAAACTCCCCCATCCATCCATGTCTCCGTGCTTTATTTTGCTGATAAATCACTTTGAAAAACACCCAACTAGCATTTCTGGCTGTGGCCATCCTGAGAAGAGCAGATGATTAGTGTAGCAGTTACTTCCTGGAATCCATCTGCCCTTAGCTCGGGTATGCAAGCAGGAGGGTGTGTTGAGCTGAGAAAAGCCCTCCTCTGCTCCTGAAGACTTCTGGGATGTATGACATTATTTGCCTAGGCATGGAAAACCAGAAGTAACTGAAGAAATGTAAAAAAAAAAGTTTAAACGAGTAAATATGATATACGGTACTTTTTTATCTATTTACTAATGCTAGCAGCATACGGACTACAAATAGTCAATGTTATTTGAGAGAGTGAAGTTCCACTTTAACTCCTTCTACAAATGTGTACAGCAAGTAGAGATGAAGTTCAGATTTGCCGCTACCATGGGTTAATGGAGAAGTCTGCATTTTTAAGGTCTGTGCATCAACAAAAAATGCTGAATTTGACACAGTAACCATAATGCACTGCTTGGCCTCTAAACTTAGGTCAGAGGAACCTAGAGGAGAGATTTTGGTTGAGAGGGTGAAGTTGACAAACGAAGCTATGCAGTCCCTGTGGTGCAACGCGTTGGGGAGGGGCAGTGGCGTCACCACACATCTGACACGGCGAGTACTGACAGCGTGGGGTACACACCCTCTAGTCCGATCTTCACCGCAGACAGCGGCTCTTTTACATTGCAAAGCTTTATGTTGTTTTACTAAATGTGAATGCATTATGGAAGCAAATAAATGGCTCAACATATCTCTGGGATAAGGCACTATTTCTTCTCTCTTTTTTATATGATCTTAGCGAGGAGCATTCAGTGATTGTAGCAAGGAGTGGATCAAAGGAGGGATTATCCCTCACAAGCACACAGGCTAATTGCAAAGCTGCAAGATTGAAGTATACCATTCATTGGAAGGAGAGTGTCATCTAATTTGGTTGGAACATTTCAGCATTTTTTGAAATTGGAACTTTGATTATGATTCAATATTGATTATTCCTTATTAATTTATAATTATTTATTTGTATTTTCACATATATATTTTTTTTTTGCATGTATCAACACTAGGTGCACTGATTTATTAGTGATTTTATTTTGCACAGTGATATATCAATTAATTTAGTATTGATGATTATCTTATATTTTTATTCTTTATTATAAGCACAAAGCACTTTTTAAAATTTGGAGCGCGGTTATAATTTGATTATTGGTTGACAAACTGCATTAGCTATGATCATCATTTGCAACATTGCAATAATACACTGTATGAAAGTGCTAAAAACCTGCTACAATATCAATGTGCAATAATGTAATGTGCTGTAACTATAAAGTGCATTAAATGAATGGGAAATAAACCAACTCAATATTGTCCATCCATTTCAATCCCCCTCAGTCCTTTTCTGTATTTCAAAATTAACCATTAGTTCATCTACTATAAAAACTGCTTGCCGTGCTGCTACAAAGTGCTTTCCTCCAGTACTTCAAAAACATACGTGCCCATGCTCACCTCCACCTTCCACCCTTAGTGGGTGCCACTCACCAGATTCAATGTGACCCCTTATGGCTATTAGAAGGTCAATCAGTGCTTTTTTATTGTCTCCTTTGCTTGCCTCTCCTCCTCCATTGGTCCACTTCACCCATGCAGCTCCACCACCTAAAAAAAGGGGCTTAAGATAGTGTAATACTGTTTGCTTTATTTTAGGCAAAAACTATATAAACGTATGTGCATTGGTAATACATACAGTCCATAGAGCTTAAACAAACCAACAAAATGGCCACTCCCTTTGTAAATGTATCACCGCAAGTGACGCAACCAGAAGTGACATAGTGACACAGTGTACGAGGCTCCAAATTGTTACAGGCTGCAGTTGTTTTTTTCACAGACCTTTTCTTAAAGCAAATCCTGGAAGGGGAAGGGTTGATTTTTGGCCTGAGACCATAGGTTTTCCTCTTGCAGCTATGCCTCAACTGTCCTGATTATGATAGAAATATTTTATTTATTTTGAGGTGTTTTTATGCAATCATTTTAATATTTTTTAAGACAATGCAGTGTGACATTAAGACTCGCAAACTATTATTAAACTGTTGTGACACCTGACAATTTATACGACAATTTATACAACGTTAAAGTGGTATTAAAGGTTAATTTGTTTTAAAATAACAAACACGTTGTACTTAACTGCTCTGTGTAATGGTTTTGCATACAACAACTCTGATCCTCCTCTTCTTGAGTCCACAGCCAGTGCTCCAGGCACCTCCTTCCTGCCTAGTGCCCCCATAGCAAGCAGCTAGCTATGGGAACACCTGAGCAGGCTCGCTCTGAGCCACTGCTCCGTGTGTCCATTTACACAGCCCCACTCTCCTCATTGACTTACTGGCTGTGATTGACAGTAACAGGAGGCAATGGCTACTGCTGCTGTCTCAGCCAATGAGGAGGGAGAGTCCTGGAGGGCGAGGCTCTCATGCACATCGCTGGATCTGGATGGAGCTCAAGTAAGTAATAGGGGGGCTGGAGGAGCTGGTGCACACACAAGGTTTTTTTTTGTACCTTCATGGATAGAATGCATAAAGGTAAAAAAAACCTTGAGCTATACTTTCCTTCAGCTTTTAAATTGGGGGTGACAGCCAAAAATACTTGGGGTGCTGTTGACGCTTTAACCTCCCTGGCGGTATGATTATTTCAGATTTTTGGTGCTGAAAGCGGTACATTTTTTTGCATGGAAATTTGGCATTTTATATTGTAGG